GGGTGGGTGTAGCTCACCATCTTATGTGGGAGTCGAACCAGCAACCTTGTTAGGAGCGCGTGCTCTCACCAGCTGAGCCATCCTGCCACCTGTTGGCAGCTCAGCAGCAGCTCATCTGGGTGCAACTCACTGGCCAATGTGGGAATCCAATCGGCAATCCTGTTGTTCAGAGCTTGCGCTCCTAACCAACTAAGCAACTTGGCCAGCCCCACATTGTCATATTTTATAATTGTTGATATTTTAGCAATGTGTGTGTAGTACCAGAACTTTAGAATTTTAAATAAAGCAGGGTTTTAAAAAAGTTGTCATGATGGAAATAATGTAAGCAAAATGATTTTTCAGAGAAACAGTGGCATGACAGGATCTGTTTAAGATGAAATATGACGCTATAATTTGAGCACAGAATCAGGAGCTTTACTGCTCTGATTCAAATCCCAAATCCACCTACTCTTTTTTGAAATATTTTTTGGATATAAACAAATAATGTTGGCAGTAGTAAACTTGGGTTATTTTTTTGGTTCTTATTCTTCTGTTGAAGTAGAAACTTTTTTGCTTGTTTTGAATTACTGTCTTATCTGTTTATCTTATACTCTGATATTAATGTTGGGTATGCCTGTTTTTAAAATGAGTAACCAACTTTATTTACACTGAAATTTTGGTGGTTGTGACTCCACAATACCAAAAAAATCTTAAATCTAAGGATGGCTTGTCTAGTAACAAAACTCAAAGAAACTAATTTTTAAAAATTAATCTAATTAATTCTTTTGAATTATATATTTAATTAAAATCTGTTATCTTTTAATCTATTAGACTCTAGAGATCAAATACTAGAATAAAGAGTTTTTCTTTTATCAGCTTTTAAAGAATTGAGCGATATGTGGCTCCCAAGAAACCAGATTGTTTAAAAATATATATACAGTATTATAGCTTTTAGAATTTAAATATCAAAATGAGTACTGTGTTAAAATAGTTCCTTTGGGAGATTATATAAAATTTCTTAATGTTGCTGCTGTTGCTATGTTTGAAATTATTGATTATTTTTAAAGGAACTGTTTTAGCTGTGCTGTCTAGCAAATAACTGTGTGTGGTTAAGTTAACTATACTGGATTTTGATTAAAACTTGATTTAAAAACTTGTTATTTTAAGTGATCGTTGGGGCCAAGGAGTGCCAGGTGGAGAGTGCAGATGAAGTGATGAGCTTCCTGGAGACAGGGAATGCAGCCAGGCATACAGGTACCACCCAAATGAACGAACACTCCAGTAGGTCACATGCGATTTTTACAATCAGTATTTGTCAAGTTGAGAAAAATACAGAGGAAGCTGAAGATGGATCGCGGTGTTCCCATCGGCATATTGTCTCCAAGTTCCACTTTGTGGATTTGGCTGGTTCAGAAAGAGTAACCAAAACGGGGAACACTGGTGAACGGTTCAAAGAATCCATTCAAATCAATAGTGGGTTGCTGGCTTTAGGAAACGTAATAAGTGCTCTTGGGGACCCACGCAGAAAGAGTTCACATATTCCATACAGGGATGCTAAAATTACCCGGCTACTCAAGGATTCCCTGGGAGGCAGTGCCAAGACAGTCATGATCACTTGTGTCAGCCCATCCTCCGCAGATTTTGACGAATCCTTAAATTCTCTCAAGTATGCCAACAGAGCACGCAACATAAGAAACAAACCCACCTTGAACTTCAGCCCTGAGTCAGAGCGAATGGACGAAATGGAATTTGAGATTAAGTTGCTTCGAGAAGCTTTGCAAAGCCAGCAGGCCAGTAGTATCAGCCAAACGAGCCAGATCCGGGAGGGTACTCCTGATAAAAATAGGATCCTTTCTCTTGAGGAGCAAGTAGCTCAGCTCCAAGAAGAATGTCTAGGTTACCAAAATTGTATACAGGAAGCCTTCACTTTCCTGGTGGAGTTAAAAGATGCTGTCAGACTAAACCAAAAGCAGCAACACAAACTGCAGGAGTGGTTTAACTTGACCCAGGAGGTCAGGAAGGTACTTCTCACCTCGTTCAGAGGAAGCCGAGGCATTGGAAACCAGGAAGAAGGACCACAACATGTTACAGTTCTTCAACTGAAGCGAGAGCTAAAGAAATGCCAGGTACCTAGACACTGCTTTATAAGTAACTTGTTTAGGACTAAATTTATTTGGGCAGATAAGAGTCATTTTGGAACTTCAGAAGTGTTTAAAAAGGATTATATATAAAAATCTCATTTTCCTGTACTCTGTTTCTTTCTCCCTTTTCCTATTGCTTTCTCCTCATGATTCATACCTTTCTTGGCTCCCCCTCCTTTCCCTGTAAAATGTATTTTAATTTGTTATATTTATTAAGTAGAATCTTGTGGATCTAGTCATTAAATTTAGAGGATGAGAAGAAACACAGGTTCAGAAACAAAATTAAGTTATACTTTATTGAATTTTTATCCCTCTGTGGGTCAGAGAAAAAGAAAAAAAAAACCTTTATCCCTTGAGTTTGGAGTATTGATTTTTTTAAACAAACAAGTCATCATATTTGATAATATTTAAGAAATGTAGGTATGTGCATGTATACATATTTCCTATGCATATATTGAGTTCAGAATTAACATTTCCCCACTTTTCATTCAAAAAACATTTGCTTAGTGAAGATTACATATCACAGGAGAAATAGTGGAGAGCAAGACATACCTAGTTCTGTTTATGTGGAGTTTGAAATTTGGTGGGCAAATGGATGT